CCTTAAAAATTTTCTTCGCCGTAGTCGTAGTAGTGGTAGTGTAGTGGTAGTAGTGGTAGTAGTAGTAGTATCAGTCTAGTAGAGATAGTAGTAGTAGTAGTAGTATCTAGTAGTAGCTGTCGTAGTTAGTAGTATAGTAGTAGTAATGGGTACTTTATAATAAGAATACATCGCGCCCACCCCCCCACCCGCCCCCCCCCCCCCCCCGGGGTAGGCATGAAGTTTACAAATTACAAATAAAAACCCCCCCCCCCCCCCGGCCTTAAAAAATTTCTTCGCGTGTGCCCTCGACTTTTGCGGCATCCGGCATCCGGGCTTTCGGGCTTTTGTTGCTGTTCAGGGTTTGAGGTTTAGAGTTTGAGAGGCTTGATCTCATGTAGAGTGCAGAAGGTTCTCAGGATTCAGGGCTTTTCGGGTTCGAGGGTCCAGGGGGTGGGGGTTTAGGCGCGTACTGTAGGAGTTTACTGTAGGGGTTTTGGGGGTTGGAGGTTAGGGGCTTGAGGTGTCTTATGTTGAGGGCTTTAGCGGTACGGAACTAACCCTAAACCCTAAACCCTAAACCCCAAACCCTAAACCCTAAACCCTAAACCCTAAGCGTCTTCTGGGCTACAAGCCCTAGAAGCCCAAACAACTTAAATCCTAAGCGGCGCGTGCCATCCTCCAGAGGCATGGCGTTGGTCGTGTGCGTGATTTTTTAGGGTTTGGGGTTTGGGGTTTAGGGTTTAGGGTTTAGGGATCCAGGCATGTGTCCAAGCAGCTGTGCATCAAGGCAGTCCCCACGGGACCCGCGTGGATCGTCCTTGGGGACGAAATGAACCCTGAAATTGGGGTCATATACCCTATACTGCCTATACTACTATAACCCCAACTCAGGTACATGGATCATAAACCCCCTAAACCCTTAACCCTTAAACCCTAAACCCTAAACCCTGTTTAGGGTTCATTTCGTCCCCAAAGGATCTTGAGGCAGAGTCGAACGCAGTTCGCGAGGTGCGCAAGGACCTAACCAAGATGACCAAAGGCCAATGTGAGTGGCCAAAGGTATTTGGAATCTAACCCTAAACCCTAAACCCTAAATCCTAGCCCTAAACCCTAGCCCTAAACCCTAAACCCTAAACTCCACATACCTCTGGGATTTGGCTGAGGAGGTCTCTCGTCAAGTGGCCCCCCAAACCTAAGGAGCTCATGCTGTGGGTTCCAAGCTAGACACCCCTGACACCCTAATCCCTAAACCCTAAACTCCGAGACCCCTTGAGTGCCGAGGGTTCATTTCGGGCTTAGGGTTCAGGGCTTCGGGGAATTCCTTGAAGCCTAGACTCCTCATGGTCGTCAGTTGGTTTAGGGTTTAGGGTTTAGGGTTTAGGGTTCAGGGTTTAAGGTTTAGGGTTCAGGGTTTAAGGTTTAGAGTTTAGGGTTCAGGGTTTAAGTTTAGGGTTTTGGGTTTTGGGTTTTGGGTTTAGGGCCAAGCCTTGTTCCGCGGAGGTCTCGCCGCCCAGGCTCCTTGGCAAAGGCATGCAGGGTTGCCGGGGTGCCATTCTTTTAGGCAACTAGTTGGTTTAGGGTTTAGGGTTTAGGGTTTAGGGTTTCAGGGTTTAGGGTCAAGGAAACTCTGTTCAAGCAGCCCCCGAAGGCTTTCCAGGCTCAAGGCGGCGGTTTCGGGTCGATGTGTTCGGCTCCGCAGGTCACCCTTTGTTTGAAGGTTTGCATCTTGTTTAGGGTAGCCCTAAGCCCTAAACCCTAAAACCTAAAACCCTAAACCCCAAACTCTAAACCCTGGTTTCCTCTAGGTTTCTTGGGAACATCACCCTGTTCCTGGGCGAAGATTCTGCTTGTCCCTACCAGCCGGGACTGTGTTTGACAAGTAGGGCTAGGGTTTTGGGGTCCCTTGTTGGGCGTTCCTAAAACAACAATGTTTGCTTGTTGTGGCTGTATAAGGGGTGCCCCTATTGTGGGGGCATAGCCGTGTCGGGGCAGTCCTCTAGGTTGCGGTCCTTATTTGGGGCAGAACTTCCCACATGGGGCTTGAGGTTTTAGGGTTTTTGTGGTTTAGGGGGCTTAGGATTTAATTCGTGTTTAGGGTTTTAGGGTCCTGTAGGGAAGTGCGGAGTGCGACAGAGCGCAAAGCCTGTTGTCTCCTGTATCCCCCTGCATACCCCTTCAAGTATTCGTTGCTCGGAGAACTGGGAAGGCAGAAACCCTATAGCCCTATGAAGACCTGAAACCTACAACCCCCGCAGCCCTAAACCACCTGAAGCCCCTGAACCCTAAACCCTAAACCCTAAACCCCAAACCCTAAACCCTAAACCCTAAACCCTAAACCCTAAACCCTAAACCCTAAACCCTAAACCCTTTAGGCCAGATAAGGCGAAGCCCACATAATCTGCAGCCCAGGCCTCCCAGGCGGGCTCGGATCTGAGAGCTGAGGGAAGGGTGGGAGGGCCTCAGCCCTAAACCCTAAACCCTAAACCCTAAACCCTAAACCCTAAACCCTAAACCCTAAACCCTAAACCCTAAACCCTAAACCCCAAACCCCAAACCCCAAACCCCAAACCACCCTGTAGTCGGGTTTAGGGTTTCTTGGACGAATCTCCGTAGCCGAGGCCCAGTTCCATACATCCTACACCTCCGAAACCGGCATCCCCAAACCTTAAAACTACCAGTGTTTGGGGGTTGGGGTTGAGGGTTTAGGGTTTAGGGTTGAGGGTTTAGGGTTTAGGGTTTAGGGCTACTAGGACCCGGAGTAGGCCCTTATTTCCTTTTTTGAGGGTTGGGGTTCCCCTGTAACCCCCTTAAACCCAAAAAGGGCACCCTTTATATTCCTAGGTGTCTCCTGGGTCTAGATATAACTACCCGGACACCTTAATTTCCCATGGTTGAGGTTTTGGGGTTTAGGGTTTGGGGGTTGGGGTTTACGGTAAAATGTTTACTCTTTAGGGTGTTGCTAAGCCCTAAACCCAAAACCCTCATAAACCTTAAGCCCTTTAAACCCTAACCTTAAACCCTATAAACAAAACCCGTGGCGTCCTTGGGCAGGCGGCCGCGCAAGCAGCGGCTCAGGCGCAGGCGCCCACGTCCTTGTGACCGGGGTTTAGGGTGCATGGCGCCTAGTGCTACCCTTGTTCGCCGCAAGGCCTGCATCCCTACATGCTTTCTAATCCCTTGAACAATCCCGAAATCAAAATGCCCAAACCCTAAATCAGTTATACCCATACTGTTCTCCCAGGTTAGGGGGGCACCAAGGGGTTTTGAGGTCGCGGCTTTTAATTAGGAGATTGTAGGGGTTTAGGATTTAAAGTTTAGGGAATTCCCTGAACCCCAAACCCTAAACCCTAAACCCTAAGGGCGTACCCTCAGCGGACCCAACTTTGGAGCCCCTTCACCCCTCACATCCCAACAACCCGAAAGGACTCCCATGACAATTCTCGAAGCCACTTATACCAGTACACTCAGGACAAAGCAGGTTTAGGGGCTAGGGTTTGCGTTTGGGGTTTGGAGGGTTTAGGGATTAAGGTTTAGCCCTAAACCCTCAACCCTAAACTCTAAGCCTGAACCCTAAAGACTTGGAGTTTGAAGCTTCTGCTTGCAACTTCTTGGCCAGGCGCAGGCAGCGAACGCCGAGGATGCAGTGCGCCAGACCCGCGCCATGGATGAGCTCCGCAAGCAGCGACTTGCTCTTTATTGTGAGAACCCCCGAACCCTAAACCCTACCCGAAACCCTAAATCCTAAAGTTTCGGGAGCTCGGAAGCGAAGTTCAAGCAGGGCCGAGGGCCCCTGAACCCTCTAAGCCCTCAGCCCCTGAAGCCCGAGAACGACAGACCTCCCCAGGCCCTACCTGGAATGTTGTGCCTGCTGTTCAGACGCAACGCTCCCTTCTGAGGCTGCAGACTTCGGATGAGGAGTGCAAGAAGGTGGGGGGGGGGGGTGGGGGGGGGGAGGGGGGGGGGGGGAAAGGGGTTGAATTTCCTAAAGCCGAAGGCCTAAACCCTATGACCTATGAACCCGAAGTCCCTAAGCCCTACACAAGCCTCGGAACCCCGCGTTTCAGTCGGAGTTTCCTGAACCCGAACACAAACAAACGCCAGACGACCGCAAAGCGACCGCTCCGCCGCAGGCCCTCGCGACGCAGGAGGAGCGCGCGCAGGCCAAGGAGAGGGAGCTGCAGGACCGGCCTGATCCAGTGTTGTGGTTTTTTTGGCGTTTAGCGCTTTTGGGTTTGTAGGGCTTATAGGATTACAGGGCTTCGGGTTAGGGTTTAGGGTTTTGAGCGTTCAGTGTTTTTGGGTTTAGGGTTTAGGGTTTTTGGGTTATAGGGATATTCGGTCAGGGTTTGGAGTTCTGAAGGGCTTTTGCTGTTCATATCTTCCGCCAGGTAGCTATAGGGCGGGGGGGAGGGGGGGACCAGTAAATCTCGAACACCGTCCTCGCCCTAAACCCTAAACCCTAAGCCCTAAACCCTAAACCCTAAACCGTAAACCCTATATCATGGCAGGGCAGCAGGTGTCATGCCGCGCAGCCTGTACCCTGAGCCGCGTGCACCCCAGGCAATGGGCCAAACCCCTCAAAAGACCCTAAACCCTACGGCGTACATCGAACCGAAAATCCAGAGTACAGTAGAGGGAAGCTAGGACAAATCAGACATTCTGCCCTGCCACAAGCCCAAAGCCCTGAATCCTAAACCCGAAGCCCCAAACCCTAAACCCCAAACCCCAAACCCCCTAAACCTGAAACTGCCATAGGACAGCCTTGCAGATGCCCAGAAGTCGAGCGCTGCCTTGGCGGAGAAGGTGGCCCTCGCCAGGTTGATCGTTTAATTTAGGGTTTAGGGTTTAGGTTTTAGAGTTCAGGGTTTAGGGTTTAGGGTTTAGGGTTTAGGGCGTTTTTTTGTTGGCGCGACCCATCCTCGACCGAGACCCTGTAGTATAGGGAGACTGTTTGCGGTTTAGGGTTCAGGGTTTAGGCTTTAGGCTTTGGGCTTTGGGCTTCAGGCTTTAGTAGCAAGTTTAGGGGTTTTAGGGTTTACATATAGCTGTGGTTTACATAATCCCCCAATCCGTACATGGGAGCTTACGAAAACAAGGGACCCCTAATACAGACCCCCAAATAGTTGGATTCCCTTAAAAAATAGAGACCCCAAGAAGGTACCCCAAACCCTAACCCTAAACCCTAAACCCTAAGCCCTAAACCCTAAACCCTAAACCCTAAACCTGAACCCTGAACAGGGTTTAGTGTTTAGGGTTTAGTGTTTAGGGTTGCGGGTTTAGGGTTTAGGTCTAGGGTTTAGGTTTAGGGGTTTAGGGTTTATACAGCCCAAGGCAATATTTAAAATAGTATCCGGACTCAAGTCTTCGGGTGTTAGGTTTTGGGTCTCGAGGGTCTGGAGTCTAGGGTGTCGGGTTTAGGGGTTGATGCAAATCCTATTAGCTCGCGGCTCGGATCAGGTGGAAGCTGTGCAGAAGATGTCGGAGCAAGCCCAGTCTGAGGCCGCAAGGGTTGGGAGGGGAGGGGGGGAGGGGGGAGGCGGGAGGGGGGGGGGGGGGGGGGGGGGGAGGGGGGGGGGGGCGAGGCGGGCAGATCAGGGTTAACGGTGCTCGGGTAAGTGCCCCTAAACCCGAAATTTCGGGTTTGGAGTTTAGGGCTCAAGGCTAAGGGCTTAGGGTTTATAGGGGTTAAGGTAGTATCTTTGATTCCTGAATTTGGCCAGGGAGGGGATGTCCGTGGGCGTTCCAGCTCAGTGCAAGCGCCCAGCTTTGGATTTGAGCTTCTGGGGGTTTGGTGGGCTTGCGGCTGATCCTTCCCCCTTTGAGAGTGGCGGCCGTTTATTCCGTTTGGTGGGGCCGGGGGGGGGGGGGGGGGGGGGGGGGTTTAGGGGCAAAAGGCTGAACAGAATGATGACGCTCTACGCCCCGAGCCACAATCTATAATCTGAACCTCAACCACCAAAAGCCCTAAACCCATGATCATCAGGCCCCTACCCAAGGCGCTCAAAACCCAGTACATACCCCAAGCCCGAACCTAGCAAGCCATGATCCCTGAACTGCGGAACGCTGAGTTTTGGGTTTCGGGTTGATTCCCTAAACCCTACACCCTACACCCTAAACCCTAAACCCTAAACCCTAAACCCTAAACCCCTCGGGCCCTGAGTCCAGCGCCTTCTTCAGGCAGCCGTCGCTCGGGAGTCCATCGCACAAGCTGCCGCCACGGCTGAGGCCGAGAAGAAGGCAGGGGCTTGGGTTTAGGGTTTAGGGTTTAGGGTTTAGGGTTTAGGGTTTAGGGTTTCGGGTTTAGGGTTTAGGGTTTAGGGTTCAGGGTTTAGGGTACAGGGTTCAGGGTTTAGGGTTACTTAGTAGGGAATGAGGGAATTATAGGCACCCCATGCTCCGTGTTGTCTTGAGACAAGACACCACATTCTTTAAACAAGAATAAAATCTTAAACAAGGTTAACTCTTGGGCTGGTGTTTTCATGCATTGAAAAATAGGTTTTAAGAGGACTAACACGTTACTAAAGGTTTCAACATATCTGGGAGTCCCAGAAGCTGTCATTGCTTATATAAACGGTTTAAAGGTTTAAAGGTTTAACAGTTTAACACCATTCCACACTCTAAAGCTTTTAAAGCTTAACATTCTGATAAAGAATAATGGTTCTGGGACTACAAGATAAAGACTTTCAACACTTTCTAAAACTCAAAACATTGGACTTGAACGTTTTTAGGTTGTCAAGGTTTCCAAAAACCTGGGAGTCCCAGAACAACACGAGATTCCTGCCGATCACTGGGACAGCCTTCATCGTGGCCATGCCAGCCAGTCCTCCAGTCAAAAAAGAAAGAGCTCGACGAGCATGCGTTGAGACTTCTGCAACGAAGAGCAGCAAAGCATAATGTGAACAGCCGAGTTTCTACAAAGCCTTTCATTTCATGCTTCGAGTTCGTGGAAGCACGGTCGGCTGCTATCTTCCGGAAGAATTATAGGGGATACCCCTACTGAAAATGGCTACCCGAAATTAGGCGAAGTTCGCGGCCCGGGGATGAGGGGGTGGGCCAGGCAGCCAAAAACTAAGATGGTTTTGAATGTGAAAGCCTAGACCCTGTAGCTTCCAGACTTGGCATAATTGTAAACGCTTGCGCGCGCCGCCTCGCCCGCCTCTCACTCCCCTCCTCCTCTCTCTCTCTCTCTCTCTCTCTCTCTCTCTCTCTCTCTCTCTCTCTCTCTGTCTCTCTCTCTCTCTCTCTCTCTATCACTCACTCTCTATCTGAGTCACTCACTCACTCACTCACTCTCTCTCTCTCTCTCATTCGTTTTATCCATCATGTTCATAATGTTTGTTAGCTTCGATGTATTCATTGAATTTATGGCAGCAAAACTATGTGTGCTCAGTTGATTCACGACATTTATTTAGGCTTTACATGCCCTAGACAACGTGTCAGGCTCTGCGCTTGAATATGTTCGATACAGCATACCTGAAGAGTCCGGGGCATTACTAGACCATTTTGTTCTGCCCATTTTGTTCAGTGCAGTATAGCCCCTTATCATCAGCATTCAGTTTTATTCTTGTCAATTTTGGGGGTGGGTGGGGGGGGGTTGGGGGGGGGGAGTGCGGTTGGGGGGTGGGAGGGGTGGGGGTGGATGCACAGCAAACCGCAAGCCCGATAATCCAAAAGTCCAAAAGTCCTCAGGCCCGCGAACCCAAAAGCTTGATGTTGGACTTTAGGATTTAAAGCTGCACTCGCTACAGTATCTAGGCCCCCCCAAGCAATTTCGGTGTTTTTTCCTAGCGGGAACGGGGGCTGGGGGTGGGGTGGTCAAGCGTTGAGGGGAAGCCTTGAAGCTCTTCCCGACAATATACGACAGCCCATGAGAGCAGCTGGGCTACTCCCTTCAAGAACTGCTTGGGGGCTTGTTTCATCGTGAAACTTTACAACGACTTTACATAAAGCAGGACTCCAGAAAATTCAGGAGTTAACAAGGAGACCCGGATCGGGCCTCCTTCCCCCTAACCCAACCCTTCCCCCCATATGCAAAATTTTGTGACGCCCCCCCCCCCCCCCCCCCGCCCTGTGGCACCCCCCCCCAATTGCTTGGAGGAGCTGCAAACCGGTATTGGTGGCTCCCACAGAAAACCCCCTCCCCCATCTCCCCCCTCCCTCCCCCCTCCCCCACCCCCCCTACCCCCCCGCCCCTTTATCCCCTTTTTTGCGAAAACCTCTTTCCTCCTTTCCTGAGAGGGAGGGAGGGAGGGAGGGAGGGAGCACCCTCGTCCAGCGTGCGTGTGGTGGGCTCCCGGTCCACCCTGTCAGGCAGTGGACAGCAGCCCTGACCGCGCACGTGCAGGACAAGTGGTCAGCGTCTGGCTGCCTCCGTGCCGCGTGGTGATCGAGGAAGACAACGCTGCTGCTGTGGCCAGCCTCCGCTGGAGCCTGCTACAACCCTTTGCAATGTGCAGCCTCCGCGGTACGGTCTGCTAGGGTGTTTGTGCGTCGTGGGCGGTGCTGCGTGTTGGGGTGTGGTTACGGAATTTGGCTTGCGCAAGGCTCAGCGCCGGCTTCTGCACCTCGGTGCCAAGCAGCTTCTGGCGTTCAGGCTAGAGAGCAAACTGCGTTTGGACCCCACAAGATAGGAGGATGGGCTGGCTGGAGTACTAGAAGCATCCACGCATCTTGTGTGTTAAATCGTGAAACGTAGCTTTTGGCTGTGCCTCTCTGAGTATTTGGCTGCCAAAGATTAATCCACTGCCCGAGTATGATTGTCAAGCTTCAGGACTTGGAATCCCATGTCCCGCGTGCCTTTACGCGCGGAGGTCATGTTGCTGACGGTTCCAGAGATGGAGGAAGTGAATGCTCCCTTCGGTCTCAATCCGAAGGGGGGTGCAATCAACAAAGCAGGAAAGGTGCAATGCATCGTGTTGAACGTGAACGTGCGCCAAGTGGAGAAGGTAAACGCAGAGTTTGAGAGCGAGGAAGTCAACGCCGACGAGGATGCTGGCAGGGCGGTCTCCCTCGCAGGGTTGAAGCCCGCGTCAAGCAAAACGCCTTGATGTCGGACTTGCTGAAGCTTGCCGCGCAGAAGCTCGCAAAAACAAAGCGCTCGCCGTGCAGGAGGACAGCAGGTTCCTTCTTGTCCATCTGACGGGGAGAAAAGGACGGCGCCCCATATTAACAGTGCCAGAAAACTTTGCTGCCGGAGACAGTTTTCCAGTGGAAGTGGCGTTGCAAGACGGTCAGTGTGTGAGGACCGATGTGCCTCGGTCTTGATTGGGGATGTGATGGATATTGATATGACAGTGCCTGCTAATATTGAAAGGTGTAAAATTTTATTGACATTGAATGGCTGCTAGTTCTGTTTTTTTTGCGTCGTTTTGGCCCGTGGTGTTGGGCTGTGCAGGGTTCTTGTCTTTGCGGGTGGTTGTTCCAGAAGCTGGTTCGGCGCTGTGTGTCAACTTGGTCCGTCGAGGCGCCTCCTGACCGTGGTCGTCAGGCAGGACTCATTCCCGTGAACCTTTCTGTGGGAGTCTACTTGGTTTTGACGCTGCTAGGCATGATTTCCGATTCCGACATGGCCTACCGGCCTACCTAGATGTTTAGCTGCTTTTTCGTGGCTGGTTATTTGAGTTGATGCATTTTGATTACCGAGATTGGCAGCGTCATGTTAGGCCGAATTTTGAGGTCTTGACCTCCGGAGTTGACGCAGGGCTCAGCTTTGCAGGTACAAACATTCTGCACACATTTGTGACAGATGCGCAGGTTTTTCAGGTGTAAATGGAGCCCAAGATTTCAGAACTGTTTCTTAGGAGGAGATTGGCTTAATCTATGTGGATTTGTTGAGGTACCCCTGTTTGACCGACAGCCATGTGGGTCTAGAGTCAAGAGCAATTCGCACAGTTTGCATGCATCATTTTGCCAGAACCGCATTATGACCGGCTCACACCGTAGTTGCGTGGTTGATTTGCGCCGCCAGACTTGGCGATGTTTATGGATCGGTTGGTTGGTGGGGTTTTGTCTTGGATCCTCAAACTGGAGCATAGATGGTTGGTGGCTGGGTTGTCTTAGCCATGATCATGATGGGTCCGCGCATTGGCAGGGATAGTTGGCGGTATGGGCTGGAGAGGCAGGGGTGACCAGTGGGCATGGAGAGAAAACAAGATTTCTAAACATTCTCTTCTTTCATTCGACCCAAAGCAGTCTCGTGGAATCCAAAACTGCCGTTTCTTTTCGGAAAAAACGAACATGAAAACACACAATCAAGCAGAAATGACCGGACTGGGAGGGAAAAGCTGCCGAATGGAACGAGGAAGCTTTTTTTCCGCAGTAGTAGCGCGTTAAGTAAACGCAAAAAAGGCCATACAAGTTTTATGAAAGTTCCAACACAACCCCAAAAACAATCAAGCTGAAAAGCCAAGAACCTTAAACCCTGTTCACCCAAACCCTAACATTCTACTCGAAAAGCCCTAATGTTGACTTCGCATTAATAAACCCCCCCCCCTCCCCCCCCCCCTTCATTGATCAATCTCTCCGGCCAGGGCCTCCTCAATAATGTTCGCCTAAATCCTGGTAGGACGTACTACTAGTTTTAGTATTAGGTAGTAGCACCACGCCCGTAAAAACCGGATTTCCCGGGTCGGATTTTACAATTGTGGCGGGCTACACTATTGTGTTCCGGCAGCGGGATTTTACAATTGCGGGTGGATCCACTAATGTGAAGTCAACATTATCACGTGCTTCGCTGGTGCTTCGGGGTCCTCGGCTTTTAGAGTTTGTGGGGTTGAGGATTTTCAGCCTTATCAAGGGTTTAAGGGCTTTTTTGTTTTGGCCAAGTTTGTCAGGATTGTGGGTTGTCAGGCTTAAGGGCTTCGCGCCTTCGGGTTTTGGGGTTCATAGTTTTTTGTGTTTAGGGCTAGTGACACTGTGGCCCGACTCCCCAATGCGATTTTTCATTCAGATTTAATCTGTAAGAATTGGAGCTAGCCTAATGTAGTTGCTCATCACATACTTCACAATATGTACGAACACACCTCGTCTTTGACCCTTGCCCTTGCAATCTGCCAAGCCAACAGCCCCAGAACCCAGCTACTCAGGGCTTAGTTTATTCTTGTACCAGTAGCTTCAGCCCCATGCCACCTTGCGTTTCCCCTGGAGCGCCCCTGTCAAGCCGACGTCATGTGGCGAATGGAGTCATCCTCACTTCTGCGGCCGTTGCGCGTCGCAGGGCCCTCGAAGCACTGTTGAGAGCCTTGAGGGTTCAACTGGGATCAGGGTTTAGGGTTTAGGGTTTAGGGTTTGGGGTTTAGGGGTTAAACCGAAAACCATATACTGATCAAAGCGGTTGTGTGCCGAAAGGCGCCACCGAATGGGTTTTGCGCCGAAAGGTGCTACCCGACAAGGCGGTTGCAGCGCCTTTCGACCGCATGGGTACTGTGCCGAAAGGTTACCATATAAGCTCTAAACTCTTGAAATCTGTGGTTGTGCGCCGAAAGGCCCCACCACACGACGCGAGCCGTGCCGAGAAGGCGCGACCCTGAGCCAACGGGATGTCCTGTCTCTCTCGGCCTCAGCTCCAGCGCGTCCGCACCGGCCTCGGCAGATTCGATTCTGCGACAGGGGCGCGCGAATTCACTGACACTGACTGTCTGCACTGCACTGGCGCCAGATCACACGGCACAAATATTTTTCACATCCTGGCAGCGCCAGCCGCTCTCTGAGTCTGGAGTCTGGAAGAGTAAGACCTGCAGAGGACATGACAGAATCAACAACAGTGAACTTGAACGCGGCCGCCGCAGAATGAGTTGTCTTGAGCCTGAAGGTCTGAAGCCCTCTAGCCTTAACCCTTCCATGCAGACCACAAAGCCTGACAACCCACAATCCTGACAAACTTAGCCAAAACAAAAAAGCCCTTAAACCCTTGATAAGGCTGAAAATCCTCAACCCCACAAACTCTAAAAGCCGAGGATCCCGAAGCACCAGCGAAGCACGTGATAGGGCTTTTCGAGTAGACTGTTAGGGTTTGGGTGAACAGGGTTTAAGGTTCTTGGCTTTTCAGCTTGATTGTTTTAGGGTTGTGTTGGAACTTTCATAAAACTTGTATGGCCTTCTTTGCGTTTACTTAATGCGCTACTACTGCGGAAAAAAAGCTTCCTCGTTCCATTCGGCAGGTTTTCCCTCCCAGTCCGGTCATTTCTGCTTGATTGTGTGTTTTCATGTTCGTTTTTCCGAAAAGAAACGGCAGTTTTGGATTCCACGAGACTGCTTTGGGTCGAATGAAAGAAGAGAAGGTTTAGAAATCTTGTTTTCTCTCCATGCCCACTGGTCACCCCTGCCTCTCCAGCCCATACCGCCAACTATCCCTGCCAATGCGCGGACCCATCATGATCATGGCTAAGACAACCCAGCCACCAACCATCTATGCTCCAGTTTGAGGATCCAAGACAAAACCCCACCAACCAACCAACCCATAAACATCGCCAAGCAGAAGTGGACTCTCACACCAGACCATCACTAAGGCAGTCATTCCAAACTTCGCGATGTCGCCCTACTCTAAGCGGCGTGTGTTTCTGAAGGGAGCTTGGAGAGTGGCTTGAGGTTGTTTGCTGGTGTTTTTGCTGGAATCCATTGGCAATGGTGGACGTCGGAGGATTTTTGAAGGACCCGCCGCTAGCCGCTAGCGTTTGCGTTGCTGCAGTAGATTTTTTTCACGATTTTAAGAGCTTGGAACGTTGTTCCATGAGCACTTCCGAGCTTCGTTTTTCATGTGACACCGCTCCTGGAATCAGCGGGCCAGTTCTAGTATAATTCAAATTAGATAATACTTTTTTATATCTGTGTATTAATTTTATTTTCAGGAGGAAGTGTTTTCTTAACTTTATTTTCCTTATTACGTTGGTAAGTAAACATTTTCTGGCTTATCGTCAAGCATGTCCTTCATACTTTTTTTAAACTTTCTTTTGTTAATATCTTTTTGTCATATACTTTTTACAGGAGTTGCAATCTTAATCTCCTTGACCGCTTGCATATGTTGAAAGTCCACCATTTTGACGCCTTAGAATTAGTTCCGTCTTCCTCTGACATCTCTTTTCATGAATGTTTACTATAAGCTTAGGGCTGAAAGGGCCAGGGATTTAGGGGGTTTGTGGTTTACGTCTGCCCCCCCTGCCCCGCCCCCCCACCGCGCAGGAAATCGGCCTGTCTCTGCCGGGCCCCAAACGTACAAACCAAACTCCAAACCCAAAGTCCCTCATTCCGGGGTGTACGGTTCAGGTCTTAGCTGAGTCGGATGTGTCTTTTAAGAACCAAGACCCGGAACTTAAACTCCAAACCCGAAACCCGAAACCCTAAAACAGAGTTCTGTGGGTCCTGAACTGCCCGGTTCAGCAGCTCCGGATCGAGCAGTGTTATGGTAGCGCTATATTTACGGCTCTGATATACGTAATACCCATCCACCCAGAGAATCCCATATTAAGAAACTATAAAGCATCTTATATAACAAAGTTCTACTGACGAAGGTTACGACTACAGAACAATTCGTTCTTAAGCTTCCTCATAGCGTCACACAAAGAAGATGATTATCACAAGAGAAAGAGTGAAACCCGAAACCCCAGGCCTTGAGGCCCTGAAGCCCCAAACCCCAGGCCTTGAGGCCCTGAAACCCTCAACCCCAACCCTTGAGGCTTCCAGGCCACGCCTTGAGGCCCCGAAACCCCGGCGCGGAAACCCGAAAAAACCCCGCCCGTGAGTGAGGCAAAAATTCCCGCCCAAAACGCCCACAGCGAGGCAAAAAGGCCCACGAACCAGGGAAATATGCGCACGAACCAGGCAAATGCCCACAAGCAGGCAAATTTTGCCCACAAGCAGGCAAAATCCGCAAGCAGGCAAATGCCCATAAGCAGGCAAATGTTGCAGCAAATTTTGCCGCCCACTGTTTCGGGTTGAGGGTTTATTAGGGGTTACGGTTTAGGGTTCAAGGTTCAAGGTTCAGGGTTCAGGGTTCAGGGTTCTTGACCCTAAACCCTGTTTTCGTGCAGGCCGCCGGCCAGAGCCTAGAGGAGGAGCTGGCAAAGCTCCGCAAGACCTCCGAGGAGGCTCGGCAAAGCGATGTGGCGGATGTGTCGGGGCTTTAATAGGGGCTTCAACAACCCACATAATCTGGGGGCCTGGAAAATTAGAATAGGTTTTCTTCTGGTGGGGGGGGGGGGGGTATGATAGTATAAGTATAGAGGGGCAATAAGGGGATGTTATTAGCAATTATTCCGAGCCCTATAGTATACACAAGGATCCTGCTGTTGGGGTATCAGGGCCCCGATAAGCGTTTACGTGGCTTTTCGGGCCCTTACTTCAGGGAGTTTAGGGTTCCGGGTTTGGGGTTTTAGGGTTTAGGGTTTAGGGTTTAGGGTTTAGGGTTTAGGGTTTCAGGATTTTTTATAGGGTTCAGGGAGTGTAGGGCTTCAGGGCATTCCGAGTTTCAGGGCTTTGGGGAGTTGAGGGCTTTGGGGGTTTAGGGAGTGTGGGGCTTTATGGAGTTTGGAGGGGTCGGTGGGGGGGTAAGTAGGGAAGTTTAGGTAAGCTTAGGGAGTCTTAAGGAGTAGTAGAGAGTACCCCCCCCCCCAAACCAACCCTAAACCCTAAACCCTAGACCCTAGACCCGAGACCCGAGACCCTAGACCCTAGACCCCAGACCCCAGACCCCAGACCCCAGACCCCAGACCCCAGACCCCAGACCCTAGACCCTAGACCCTACTTTAAAGAACCTATAGTCTCCCGGGGTGCCAGCTTGCGAAGCGCCCTCGGGATTTTGCTTCGACTCGACGGGTTCTATGGAGCGATGCTTGAGCTCTAAGCACTTGCTGAATCTCAATGGGTGTAGTGTATAGGGTTTAGGGTTAGGGTTCAGGGTTTAGGGTTTGGGCTTTCGCGTTTAGGGTTTAGGGTTTAGGGTTTAGGGTTTAGGGTTTAGGGTTTAGGGAAGGTTTTAGGGAACCCTAAACCCTCAACGCTCGCTCCCAGCTTCTGAGCCATCCTGCAGGCGCTGGCGCAGGAGGCCGGGCGGGCGCAGGCGGCCGAAAAGGCACTCCAGGACCGTGAGGGTTGTAAAGGGGGTTTAGGGTTTAGGGTTTAGGGTTTAGGGTTTAGGGTTTAGGGTTTAGGGTTTAGGGTTGAGTGAGGTCTTCCCTATTCCTTATACGCCCTACACCCCCAATACGAAGGCAAATTCGACAGCCAGACGCCCAGATCCAGCAAGTTCTGGGAGGGGGCAGGGCGCGGTGAACCAGTGTAGTTCTCTCATGATGGCTTCTTTTTTGTGTGGTCCACCCTAAACCCTAAACCCTAAACCCTAAACCCTAAACGCTAAACGCTAAACGCTAAACGCTAAACCCTACACCCTACACCCTACACCCTAAACCCTAAACACTAACCCTAAACCCTAAACCCTAAACCCTAAACCCGAAACCCGAAACCCTAAACCCTAAACCTTACAAGGGCACGTAGAAGATCATAGCTCGGCCCCGCGATGTGGAAGAGGACAGCCTTGACGATGCTCAGAAGGCCAGTTCGGCGCTAGCTGAGAAGGCCGGGACTGGTTAAAGGCTGGGTTTAGGGTTTAGGGTCTAGGGTTTAGGGCTTGGGGCATAGGGTTTAGGGTTTAGGGCTTAGGGCTTAGGGCTTAGGGTTTAGGGTTTAGGGTTTAGGGCTTAGGGCTTAGGGTTTAGCAATTTGTGTTACCGAAAGCTCGAAACCCTAAACCCCGAGCCCTAAAACCGAAGAGGGTTGATTCGGCTGAGACACACACACACACACACCCACACACCCACACACCCACACACCCACCCGCCCAACCACCCACCCACCCACCCACGCACGCACGCACGCACGCACCCACCGGAGCCTACACGGCCCTGACGGGGCTCCCTAAGCCTCTATTTCCAAGCCACCCTAAACCCTAAACCCTGCCTGAAGGCTCAGGATTTAGGCTTTAGGGTTTGGGGTTACAAGAACCCCAAGTAGGACTAAAAGTTGACTATGCTCGGTTGGGCTAGAGTGACCCGAAACTTGTATCTACCCATGAACTTCCAAGAAGTCCCCAGGAGGCCCAGAGCCCTTAATGTGGTTTAGGGTTTAGGGTTTAGGGTTTAGGGTTTAGGGTTTAGGGTTTAGGATCCTGGTACTGACAGGGTGGGCCTGGATAGTGTTGCCAAAGAGCTGGCAAGTTGTCCCAAACCCGAAACATCCCCAAACCATCTCGAAGCCCCAAAGCCCTCAACGCCAAACCCTGGTCCTAAACCCTAAACCCTAAACCCTAAACCCTAAACCCTAACCCTAAACCCTAAACCCTAAACCCTAAACCCTAAACCCTAAACCCTAAACCCTAAACCCTAAACCCTAAACCCTAAACCCTAAACCTCGGCCGTGCCTGCCAAGACCTCGAAAGCAGGTGCAGGAGGCCCAGACGAAGGCGGAGCAGGCAGAAGCCGAGGCGGTTGAGGGTTTGGAGTTTAGGGTTTAGGGTTTAGGGTTTAGAGTTTAGGTGCGCCCTTACCCCGCACCCCTATAATATTGGCAGTTCTCTAGATACTTCTTCCCTTTTGAGTCCAGCCAGCAAACCCAAACGCTTCTGTCCCTACTGAAGAGCTCGAAGCTTCAACCCTAAAGCGTTCTCTGAAATCCCCTGTTAGGAGTCAGTCCAAACCCTAAAACCCTAAACCGAAGCCCTAACGCGAACTCCGCGGCAGGCAGCCATAGCCCAGGAATCGGTCTCGCACGCCGCAGCCTCCTCCGAAGCAGAGAAGAAGGCGCACGAAAGTGAGGTTTAGGGTTTAGGGTTTCGGGTTTCGGGTCTCGGGTTTAGGGTTCAGCTCTTCAGCATTTCCAGCGAAAGGGATAGGGGTCAAAGTAAGAATAAAAAAGGATGAAAAAACAAAAAAGGATCAGAACATATAACAAAGGGGGATCAACAAATGCTATCAAAAGGGTTCAATAAGAACATGTACCCTAAGCCCAACGCCCTAAGCCCTAAGCCCTAACCCCTAAGCCCTAAGCCCTAAGCCCTAAGGCCTAAGGCCTAAGCCCTAAGCCCTAAGCCCTAAGCCCTAAGCCCTAAGCCCTAAGCCCTAAGCAATCGCTGGCCTAAGCCCTAAACCCCAAACGCTAAACCCTAGACCCTCAACCCTAAAACCCTAAAACCCTAAACCCTACGAGACAACAAAGTGCACCAGTGGAGCGTGATGAGGAGAACATGGTTTGGAATTGTCCGAGGCATGGGTTGAAGTATCATCGTCTTGGATGCGGGAAACTCACCGATGCTGAGGAGGTCACTGAAGTTCACAAAGTGGTGGCCATCAACCGTGGATACAGCCAATGCAAAGTCTGAAAAGCTTGATGATGGTGAGCGAGCCATGTGGCTACGGATGCGACTGAAATGGAGCTGCATGGCGCAGCATGGGAAGCAAACTTGCGGTACCGATGGTGAACCTAAACCTTAAACCCTCGATTTCTCCTTTTTTTGTCCCTTTGTGCTGTTTTGTTCCGGCTGAAACCTGTATGAACACTGCCTGAACAGAACCTTGAACCCTAAACTCCAAGAAGTCTTGCAAAGTCTGACAAGCCCGAAGTACATAAACCCTAAACCCTAAACCCTAAACCCTAAACCCTGAGCTCTAGACCCTCAACCCTAAACCCTAAACCCTGAACCCTAAACCCTAAACCCTAAACTCTAAACCCTAAACCCTAAACCCTAAACGCTAAACCCCACACCCTAAACCCTAAACCCTAAACCCAGGCAGCAGACAAGAGCCTGGAGGAGGAGCTCGCGAAGCTGCGGAAGGAGTCCGAGGAGGCCCGCGCGCGGCTTCCGCGCACCAAAGTCAGGGTAGGGTATAGGGTTTAGGGTATAGGGCTTAGGGTTTAGGGTTTAGGGTTTAGGGTTTAGGGTTTAGGGTTTAGGGTTTAGGGTTTAGGGTTTAGGGTTAGCAATTGAAGGGCTTAGGGTCTAGCATGCGGCACCAGACTTCTTCAAGGTGGGAATTGGTGGATCGACTCACATTTGGTGCGCATGGGGTTTCAAGGGATGCAGGCTCGTACCCTTAAGGTTGTACCCCCTAACAGTTCCCCTTGATAGATTCCTAATATGGCCCTTATAGGGTTTCGGGTTTCAGGTTTAGGGTTTAAGGTTTAGGGTTTAGGGTTCCCAAAAACCCAAAGGGTACAACCTGAAGGGTCCAAGCTGCAACCCCCAGAGGCTTCGTATCGCCATACGCTGCTTCTGGATTTTCTTTAGGGTTTAGGGTTTAGGGTTTAGGTTGAGAGTTCCACAGTGATCACTTTGATGATCCTGCAATTGAGGGTCATGACCCTAAACTCTAGAAGGAAACACACTCCAAACCCTAAGCCCTAAGCCCTAAACCCTAAGCCCTAAACCCTACACCCTAAACCCTAAACCCTAAACCCTAAACCCTAAACCCCATGTATGTGTTGTCGGGTTGTTCAAGCCAAGGGCTACATGAATGCTGCGTTTAAGGTTCTGCGGGGAGTAGCGTGCCTACCCTTAAGGAAGACCGTTTCTGAATTTCATGCCCTATACAGCTCCTAAAGCCTAAACCCTAAACACGGGGTTCCGATTGCTAAACCCTGCACCCTAATCCCCGTGAGATCCTAAACTCCAAGCCGCAAATGAAACCCTGAACCCTACGGCCCAAACCCCCAACCCCTAGCGGAACCCCGAAGCCCAAGCCAATCCAAGCCAAAACCCTGAATCCAAAAACCCTAACCCTAAGCCCTAGACCCTAAACCCTAAACCTTAAACCCTAAACCCCAGACACAGGAGTTCGGCAAGCTGCGGGAACAGCTCCAGAAGGTCGAGCAGACGGAGAAAGAGGCCAGGCAGACGTGCCCCCCTCCCCCCCCCCGCACACGAACACCCTAAACCCTTGGGTTTAGAGTTTAGGGTTTTGGGTTCAGGGTTCAGTTCCCTTCAGCTCATGATTCTTCCGGGGGCTTCTTTGTAGTCACAGAAACATGAGCATAAGCAGAAGCGCAAGCATAAGCAGAAGCATCAGCAGAAGCATCAGCATCAGCATCAGCATCAGCATCAGCATCAGCATCAGCATCAGCATCAGCATCCACACACACACCAAATCCTCATGGAGACGGATCCGAAAGCCCCTTTTCGTGGTAATTACAGGGCCCTAATAATCCTGAGGGTCCATGTACCTGCATAGCATATATTTGGGCCTTAAAGGGGTTCTCATATAGTAGCTTTAGGGCCCAAGTATGTGCCAGATAGGTACATAGACCCTTACATTGCCATAGCAGCCCAAAGCCCCTAAACGCTTGGAGGCATCAGCCGCTGCCACCGAGAAGGAGGCGGACCTGAAGAAGGAGAAAGACAAGGAGCTGGAGCAGCAGAAGGCCGCCTCAGGGTCCAGGGTTTAGGGTTTAGGGTTTAGGGTTTAGGGTTTAGGGTTTAGGGTTTAGGGTTTAGGGTTTAGGGTTTAGGGTTTAGGGGGTTCCTGGGCTTCAGGGCAAGTGCGTCTTTGCGGAAGGAAGTTGAGAGCAACAGTTCCGAGACAAGCTGCAGCCATACCACCACCCGTGCGGCCAGCCCTCCAGACACTAAACCCTAGTCAATGAGCCCTATGAACCCTACACCCTGAAACCTGGACCTTGTAAACTCCTGAACCCTACACCCTAAACCTTAGGCCCTTTAGCCCTGCCAACCCTGCGTCCTAAACCCCTGAACCTGAGCCGAGAACCCGAAGCCGTAAACCCTAGAACCTCAGAATCCTAAAACCTAAGCCTTTGTCATAGTAGGGTGGCATTTAAGATTTTTAGGTACTTACACTCAATAAGGAATAGAAATTTAAAGTTTTAAACCCTGAGCCCTGAACCCTAAACCCTAAACCCCTTAAACCCGTAAACCCTAAAACCCTGAGCCCTCGAGAGAAGGCCGACCTGGAGGATCTCCGCAAGCGCCTGGCAGATGCCGAAGCCAGCGGCGAGACGCTGAAGAAGCCACCTGGGCCTGCAAATCGGGGGGTTTAGGGTTTGGGGTTTAGGGTTTAGGGTTCAGGGTTCAGGGTTCAGGGTTTGGGGTTTGTCGATTTTTTGGGGGCAGCGGTGGGGGGGGGGGGGGGGGGGGGGGTGGGGGTACCTTTTTGGATCCTTATTATAAGGGGATGCTACCTTTTTGGGTATCTATTTTCGGTCCCCTGTTTTCGTAAACCCCTAAAGAGCCCAAGGGCTTTCGGGGGGTTCAGGGCCCGAAGCCCTAAGGCTGAACCCTGATTCCCAAACCCGAAGCCGCAACCCGCAATGTTTGGGGATTTTTGTTTCCAAGGTGTTCAGGGTTTAGGGTACTCAGGCTTCAGTCGTTTCAGTTTGGTTTTCAGCTCAGTTTCGTGGTCTGGCTCGTTTGTGTTTTGTATTGCCCTCAGAAATAGGATATATAAACACAAATAGATAAATATTATTAATCATAATTACAACAATAATATTAATATTAATATTAATATTAATATTAATATTAATATTAATATTTATATGAATATAAATATTACTTTTGATTTTATTATTAATATTAATATTCACAATCATGTGCTTAATATGCCCCAGCCCCTTCTTGAGGACAACATCTTAGATAGCTGACCCCTAAACCCTAAGCCCTAAACGCTAAACCCTAAACCCTAAACCCTAAACCCTAAAATGATCGCTTGCAGGGAAGCCTCGGAGTCCCAAGAGCTGCGGCAGAAGGCGCAGGAAGAGCAGGACAAGGCGTTGCAGGAAATGCGCCAGAGGCGGGCTTTGGGTTCTAACCCTAAACCCTAAACCCCAAACCCCAAACCCCAAACTCGAAACCCTAAACCCTAAACCCTAAACCCTAAACCCTAAACCCTAAACCCTAAACCTTAAACCCTAAACCCTAAACCCTAAACCCTAAACCCTAAACCCTAAACCCTAAACCCTAAACCCTAAACCCTAAACCCTAAACCCTATAAACCCTAAACCCTATAAACCCTAAACCCTAAACCCGAAACCCTAAACCCCCGCAAGCCTCACCGCCAGGCTCGAGGAGCTCGGTGGGCTCAGCGAGGCGGCGGCCAAGGGCGAAGAGGCGGCGAACCGCGACCCAGCTGCCCTTGGGAAGAGGTTTAGGGTTTAGGGTTTAGGGTTTAGGGTTTAGGGTTTAGGGTTTCGGGTTTGCTGTAGGGTTTAGGGCTTACCTGAAGATCCTAGCGGCCGGAAATTAGTGTCCTTGTGGCAAAATCTGGATTTTACCGTAGAAAGGCCGTATTTCGGTTTTTTAATGTTTTTTTGGGGTGTAGGCAAAGCGGCCATATTTTAGGTTTAGCCTAATAATAGTCAAGCAAGTATCCTATTGCCTGTGTAAGGGGGAACTAAGCAAGATTGAAAAGGATTGTTTTCCGAGCACTTACGCGACTCTTTGTGATCCAAGGACCTACAGGAAATGGGTCTTCCGCAAAAGACTACAAATCCGTACCCTTATCCCAATAAAATGTCGACATTTTTCGGGATTTTGGTGAGCTGCAGGAAACCGTAGGAAAACCGTAACCCATAGGAAAACCATATTTTTTCGACATTTTGTCGACAAAAAACCAAAGAAAACCAAACCCCAATCCCGACAAAATGTCAATAAGCGGGCGCTTCATTTTTTAACCCTCGTATAATGAGCCTGACCGCGTAATCCAGACCTCTACAAGGCACGACCGCGCCCTGAAACCAAGCTCTTTCAGCCTTCTCAAGCCTGAGTACCTAACGGGTCCATGTTTCGGCTTCACTTGTTTTGATTGTGTTTTGTTAAGGGCCGGAAACGGTTTTTTTGCAGCCCCTCCAAGCGGACAGAAATTTCGCGAGGACATATTTTCCAGCCTCTCGAAGCGGACGCGAATTTATGGCACAAGGGGTTCCCAGGTAGGGTTTAGGGTTTAGGGTCTTGGGTTTAGGGTTTAGGGTTCAGGGTTTAGGGTGTAGGCTAATTTTGTGTCATCAGCTTTGACTCCAAGACCTTGAACACCTCAAGCCTAAATCCTACACCCTTAATCCCACATACCCCATAAAGGCCGGCAACCTCTTTATCTGTTACCCTTATACCTTCATATAGCCCCAAGACACCCCAGTAAGAACCCCCTACAAAACAGAAACCCCTCAACCCTAAAAATTATACCCTACTAGGGTAATTTATACCCTAAACCCTAAACCCTAAACCCTGAACCCTAAACCCTAAACCCTAAACCCTAAACCCTAAACCCTAAACCCTAAACCCCTAATCCTAGATACCCTAATAGCCGCCCAGGATGCCGCGAGGAAGTGGATGCGCTTCAGAGCAAGCTGGCGGAAGAGACCCTTGGCTAGGGTTTTGGGTTTGGAGGTTTAGGGTTTAGGGTTCAGGGTTTAGGGTTTAGGGTTCAGGGTTTAGGGTTTCGGGTTCAGGGTTCAGGGTTCAGGGTTCAGGCTTCAGAGGCTAGCCCAGACTAGTCTGGTGGGTTTAGGGCTGCGGGTGTCTGGGGGGGGGGGGGGGGGGGGGGGGGGAGGCGGCGAAAGCCGAAACCCGAAAGCCCCAAACAGGAAATACTTAGGGCTTAGGGCTTAGGGCTTAGGGCTTAGGGCTTAGGGCTTAGGGTTTAGGGCTTAGGGTTTAGGGTTTAGGGTCTAGGGTTTAGGGTGTAGGGTTAGGGCAAAACCCTAAACCGCAAACCCTAAACCCCAGACCTTAAACCCTAAGCCCCAAACCCTAGACACTAAGTTCCAACCTCCAAACCCAAGCTAGCCCACTGACTTGCTTGGTGCCGGGGTCGGATTGAGTTCAGGGTTTAGGGTTTAGGGTTTAGGGTTTAGGGTTTAGGGTTTAGGGTTTAGGGTTTAGGGTTTAGGGTTTAGGGTTTAGGGTTTAGGGTTTAGGGTTTAGGGTTTAGGGTTAGGGTTAGGGCCCTTGAAGCCGCCCGAAGGGTCCATGTACCTAAATAGGGAATACTTGGGCCGGACTTCAAGGCCCAAGGGTTTAGGGTTTAGGGTTTAGGGTTTAGGGCTTAGGGCTTAGGGTTTACGGTTTAGGGTTTAGGGTTTAGGGTTTAGGGTTTAGGGTTTAGGACACTTAGGGTCAATGTGTGTGTAACAACTGCGAAAAACGGTTAAACTTCCTCCTCACCCTGCATGTACATGATGACTGTTTGGACGGCCAACAGGTAAAGCCCTAACCCCTAAACCCTTTAACAAACCCCCATCAGTTCAGAGCCTTATAACAAAAAGGTGCCCACAGGCTCTTCGAAACCCAAAACCCTATAACCCTAATTCCTAAACCTTCATCACCCTAAACCCCCATTCGAGGCCTCAACCCCAAACCCTGAACCATATACCCTAAACCCTGAACCCTAAACCCCAAGCCGCAAACCCTAAACCCCCCAAACTACACTTTTTTCCCAGGGTTGGTGCAGTTCGCCTCCGCATGGATGGCGGCTTTCGGGCACTGCTGCAGCGTTCCGAGGCCTTGACCTCACTTCGGGTTTAGGGTTTAGGGCTTAGGGCTTTGGGCTTTGGGCATAGGGCTTCTAAGATTTACAGTAGGGTTTAGGGTTAGGGTTTAGGGTCGGGTTTTTTTTTGAGTTCACAGTAGGGTTCAGGGATAGGGATGATTGTTGGGCTTGGGGCTTTGGGGTAAGGGTCTAGGGGTGATTGTTGAGGGAGTCGGTGCGCCAGAACCATGCTAGAATGAGGACACCCTGTGAGTCCGCGTCTGTTTTTTCAAGTCACTCAGAAATAGGGTACCACCCTCCAGCTTGATCCAATCTAAGAATAGTCCGACATACCCCAAACCCATACCCCTTAACCCAAAAAAGAAAATAACAGGAATGATTTTACCATACCCCTTAGTTTCGTTTAAGGGGCATGTTTGAAGGGGTATGTTGAATATCTCTTAGATCCAAGCCCCAAACGCATGGTGTTGGAGTGCAAGGGGTCATAGGGGTTGTCAGGGCTTGGGGTGTTTGTCGAAACTTGCATGTGTTTTTTGCTCGTTTCTGAGCCAAAAAACGAATGCAGTCCAGACTATGGCCCCAGGGCTTCTAGAGGAAGTATAGAGAACCTCAAACCCTAGTAGCTGAGTAGGTTAACCTTTAAACTTTTTGGGGTAGATATATATATATATATATACACTCCTACCATAATTGAAACTAGGAAACCCTATACACCCTAAAGCCCTACTCCGGCCCTACGTAGGGGGTTGCGCAAGGACTTGTGCGGGTGGCCGACATGCCCCAAACCCCACGCCCCAAGCTGAAATGTGGCTGCAACCAAGCTCGAATCTCTAGACTCTAAACCCTGAACCCTAAGCCTTAAGCTTAAACCCTGAACCCTAAACCCTAAACCCCAAACCCAAAACGCATGACCAGGCCGAGAAGTGGCTGCGTGAAAACGTGGCCGCCCGGCTGGGGTTCTGGTGTAGGGCCTCCTGGTTGGGTTTTGGGGTTTAGGGGTTCATGGGTTCAGGGGTTTAGGGGGTTCAGGGCTTTAGGGGTTCAGGGGTTTAGGGTTTGGGGTTTAAGGTTTAGGGTGCAGGGTTTACCCTGTAAGCCCTTCAAACCCGAGACGCAGCACCCCATAAACCCTACACACGCTAGAAACCCTGAACCCAAGATACCCCGTCCTAGAGCCATGGAAGTGGAGGTTGAGGGGTGGGGGTTCAGGGATGTAGGGTTTGGGGTTTGAGGGTTAGGGGCCTAATGCAGGAGCCTAAGTAATCCCCAACATCCGCGATCGTGCCTGTAGAGTTGTAGTCTACATATCAGGGCCCAAAGTAGGCCCTCATGCCCCGAACCTTGTAACCCTAAACCCTGAACCCTAAACCCTACGAGTGCATATCTGCAGAGATTTGGGATGCCGACAGCTCAGGGATGTTGAGGGGGGTTGGGGGTTTTTAGGGTTTAGGGTTTTAGGGTTTGGGTTTAGGGCTAGGACCCAGAGGAGGCCCTTATACCCTCGTTTTAGGGTTTCGGGCCCCGTTGGGGCTACGCCTGGGTCTATATGAGGTATACTTGGGCTTTCAAGTATTTCGTACAGAGGGACATGAAGGCCCGAGTATCTAAGGTTGAAGTACAGGGACACTTACTTAGGGTGCGGGGTTCAGGGGTGTTGAGGATTGACCGGACTGAGGGGTTCAGTGTTTTCGGCTAGGCAATAAACCCCAAGAACCCTAAACCAGCTTGCGACTGCCTGTTGCTTGGCCCCCTCCCACCCCTTCCCCCAGTGATCACGGACATCCATCCGACGCAACCCTTTTTTGTGAACCCTAAACCCTAAACCCCTAAACCTGAGAGCCGCGTTAGGACACGGTGGCGGACGGTGTGTCCAACGCTTTCCTTCGCTTGCTGGACAAGTCCTCGGAGAAGCTTAAGGAGAGAGTGGAGAAACTGGAGAAGGCGATGGTAGGGTTTAGGGTTTGGGGTTTGGGGTTTGGGTTTGGGGTAGGGTTTAGGGTCTCGGCCTTGGGTTTAGGATGCTACAAGGGGAACACAAGGATTGACATGATGCTCATTCTTGCAATCTTATAGGTCCTAGAATGAAAGAGCATTACCGGTATAGTGCTTGTCTTGTCCCCTTTAAGAGGCCTTGGCTTAGTGCTACCCCTCTTCTTGAAACCTAAACCAGGTCCTGCACCCTGAGCTCTAAACCACCCTGCAACCCCATTTGGTACTAAGAAGAAATGATCATCATGACTAGTCTGATTATGCGTCGTTGTAGTAGTCGTAGTAGTCGTCGTAGTCGTAGTCGTCAAGTCGTAGTCATCGTCGTCGTCGACGTCGTAGTAGTGGCAGTGGCAGTGGCAGTGGTAGTGGTATTGGTAGTGGTAGTGGTAGTGGAGGTAGTAGTCGTCGTCGTAGTAGTAGTCGTCGTCGTAGGTGATGGCCTAGTTTTCGACCAGCAGCACTGTGTTTTTTGGATAGCCAACTTGCATCCCTGGTCAGGGTGACGAGTGATGGAGCAGCTCTGCGGGAAGAGGAGCAGGTCTCAGGTTAGGGTAGGTCTCACGTTCGGGGGGTTGAGAGATCCCATAAGCACCTGAGACCTGTGTTCAGAGGACTTGGATGAAACTCGGTCCCCTGCCAATCCTACTGCATGAGGCAAGTGCTTGGCAGGTATGTTGAAGACGTGGAACACGTCTGCATCTGGCCATGCATCAAGACTGCGCGCCTATGGATTGCAAATTCTGCCCTTTAAGGAAAGGCTCTGAAAGTCAGTCCAGACCCCCCCCCTCCCCCCTGTCAGCAGGGCAGATGTGGCTGTACATACATCTGATGAGCCCTTTGCGTATGCTCTGAGGCTTGTGTGCGCAGGGTTGCTCACAATACCTTACCCGGACCCCCAAGTCTTCATCATTGCCCCCCAAATCGAGGAAAACTGATACCGAAACCCTAAACCCTCACCTGGAAACCTCGACTCAACCTAACTTTGGGTTGGCAATTCCTGTATCTGAGGGTGTCAGGGTTTGGGGTGCAGAGGGCATCATTGTTTAAGGTTTAGGTTTTAGGCCGTAAACATCCGTAAACCCTAAACCCTACACCCTAAACCGGTGCAGCACAGAACATATGAAGGAAGACCTCGTGGGAGTTCTGGTTACACTGTCCACAAAATGCAACACAAGTTAAGGTTTAGGGTTTAGGGTTCAGGGTTTAGGGTTTAGGGTTTAGGGTTTAGGGTTTAGGGTTTAGGGTCCCTAAATCCTAAACCCTAAGCGCTACCAGGGCCCTACTAGAGCCCTAAAACCCTGCGCGCGTGAAGTTTCACCCATGGGCGCCAAGCACCAGGCGGCTGAAAATGCTGATGGAGCTTGTGTTTGCTCAGGACGTGCGGCCACCGTTTAGGTGTAATTCGCTCGGGTTTAGGGTTTAGGGTTTAGGGTTTAGGGTTTAGAGTTTAGGCTTTAGTTCGGGGCCGTGCCGCGTATCACAGATCTTCCATTTTATCCACCACCTCCCGGCAGCAGCAGCCGGCCGGCGAGCAATGGTTTTGTATTGGAGGTGCCTGCTGCAGCTCGATGCCCCAAACCCTAAACCCCGAACCCTAAACCCTACAAGCACAAGTGACTACTAGTACCATTTGCTTACGACCCCAGCCCCCCCAAAAAAATATATATGTATATAATAATAATGATGATACTAGTACTAGTACTAATGATAATAATAATAATCATAATCATAGTAATAATAATAATACTAACGTATCATTCCTCATAAGGGCAGCATGGGGATTAGTGTTGTGAGTTTTTTGGGGCTCTTTAGCAAATAGGTGAGTATCCCCATAGCCCCAAGTGGGATTAAGACCGCGAAAGCTGCAAACCCTCGTCGACCCTGAACTCCTGAACCCCTGAACCAAAAAGCCACAACCCTAAACCTTAAACCCTAAACCCTAAACCCTAACCCCTAAACCCTAAACCCCTGCCCCACACCCTGATCCCAGCACCATGGAGCCTACGCCCAACCCTAGCGAGACCTCAAGCGAGCGCACTGCAGCTGCGCCGACGGGTTAATGGCGTGCATGGCGCGAATGCCGAAGGGTAGTTTCATGGGCCCTTAATATGGCCCCTTGATGTATGGGCCCATAGAAGGGGTATTTAAGGGGTACCCGTTTAAGGGCGCATACTAGGGGACCATGCAACTACCCTAAGAGAATGCAGTTAGAACATGGAGATTGCTGCGAACTGCACCTGGAGGTTCATGGGTAGTTCTAAGTAGGGCTACGAGTAGGGCAAGAAAAGCTTATAACATTACTTATGGGGTACTTATGACCCTACAAAGAACCACCCATGCACCTCCAGGCAAGAGTATTCGGGACTAGGGTTTAGGCGTTGAGAAGGAATACGTCAGAATGGACATGGGGGTTAAGGGTTCAGGGTTTAGGTGTTAGGGTTTAGGGTTGTTCAGGGGCCCCTTAGATGGCCCCTCTATCGTCTTTAACGGGTTCTGAAGTATGGGCCATTGGGTTCAGAGGTATCTAAGGGTCACATAAGGGTTTCCCCAATGAAGAGTCCACACTGAGGGTTTAGGGTTTAGGGTTTAGGATTTAGGGTTTAGGGTTAGCTGCCAGCCCATAGACCCTCAACTCTGAACCATAAACCCAGAACCGACACCCCCCACATCGCCACTACACTCGGTGGTTCGGGGAGGCCGAAGCCCTAAACCTGCATCCCGTAGTTGGGTCTAGAGCCTAGGGTTTAGGGTTTTGGGTGTAGGGTTTAGGGTTTAGGCAGGGGTGGGTGCTGGTAGAATGCCACGGCGTCTGCACTCTTTTACCTGGTCGGCTGAGGTTCATGTTCTCTGGCAATGTCAACCGCCAGCAGATGATCGAATATCTCAGCTTACTCCAGCGGCGGCCTCAAGAGGATGTCGCTAAACGTAGGGTTTAGGGTTTAGGTTTTAGGGTTTAGGGTTTAGGGTTGATATAGAACCCTAACAACCCAAGATGCCTGCAACCGCCCGGCTGGCTGCTGAGTTCCCACCTCTGGGGGGTCCCAAGGGTACCTTTGACTGTGAGATTGCTCGGGTTTTCGGGCTTCAGGAGTGTGGCGCTTTAGGCCTCGAGGTCATCATAGGGATTAGGGTTACTGAGGGTCAGGGGTCGAGCTGTCCCTAGGTTCTAAGCTCCACTAGAACCACAATTCGCAACATGAACAATTGACGAACCTCAACAAGAAAAGCACCGCAGAGCCCCCTTGCCCCAGGGTCTTGGGGTCCTAAACCCCCAAGATGCCAAAGACGCCAGACCCCAAACCTAAACTCCGAACCTCACAATCCTAAAGCCAAAAACGCTGAAACCCTAAGCCCTCAGCCCTCCACTCTTTATATAACCCAAAGCCCTGAAACCCTCAATCCTAAACCCTAGAAACCAAAAACCTCAGCCCGGAAACTCTCAAACCCTGCAGCGTAAAACCTCAAAACCCTGGAAGCCCCAAGAAAGAACCCGGAACCCCAAACCCCAAGCCCTAAGCCCTAAGCCCTAAACCGTAAGCCCTAAGCCCTAAGCCCTAAACCCTAAACCCTAAGCCCTAAACCCTAAACCCTAAACCCTAAAGAAACCCTAAGAACCCTGAGCCGCAGGTGGTCCCAGGCCACCTGGGTCTCGGCGCCTTATTCGATCCTGCCGGGCCCTTGGGGGTCATGTGCGCGTGAGGATAGGGTTTAGGGTTTAGGGTTTAGGGTTTAGGGTTTAGGGTTTAGGGTTTAGGGTTTAGGGTTTAGGGTTTAGGGTTTAAAGGGTTTAGGGTTTAGGGTTTAGGGTTTAGGGTTTAGGGTTTAGGGTTTAGGGTTTAGGGTTTAGGGTTTAGGGTTTAGGGTTTAGGGTTTAGGGTTTAGGGTTTAGGGTTTAGGGTTTGTTTGTAGCAGTAGGGTTCAAGGCCCAGGTTGGTTGGAGTTTGTTGACCGACTTGTACCAGGAACCCCTTCCCTGAACCCCAAAATCGCCAGGTTGGGGCGTGCATGATAGTTGTCCCTAAACCCTAAACCCCACTAGACGACCACAAGGTAGGTTCTCTTCTTAGTAAAGAACGCCTGCTTGAAGGGGCTCTTAGCCCATGGTTTCCGAGGGAGCACTTGTAAACCCGAGCCCAGACGTCCTATGCCCTAAGCCCCGCCACCACAAGCAATACAGGCGCTCGATGCTGACCAACATCATCCCCTTCATAACCCCGTTTTTGTGTGTACTGTTCTCGCACAAATATCCCTAAACCCGAAACCCTAAACCCTAAACCCTAAACCCTACATGATATCCTTGGACCGTATTGAATCCCCGAACACCCAGGATGGAGCCTTTACAGGCCGGAGTTCGCAAGGTTGAACATCTGAAGCCTGCAAGCCCTAAACCCCTAAGCCTGCATCCCGAAGCCCTACAAACCCTGAAGCCCAAAATCCTTTTAAGCCCTAAACCCCAAGCCTTAGCCTTATAAACCCTGCACCCTAAGCCCGAAATCCAACCGCCCTAAACACACAGCCTAAACCTCCCTGACCCATTGAAGCCACAACTCCCCCCAAGCTCCAAACTCCTTGCGCCCTTGTAGTTTACTACTATTTGCTTAAAACACCCCAAAAATGCAATACAATCCATATACTGCCTGTACATATTTTTATATGTATGTATACCTATAAATAAATATAAATAAAATATATATATATATATATATATATATACATATATTTATTTATTTTTTTTTCTTTTTTTTTTTTGGGGGGGGGTGGGGGGGGGCCGCGTTGCTTAAGAAACGCCCAAAAGTGAAAACAAAATCCCTATTTTGCCTGTGTAAGGAAGTTTTGTTATATTTGTTTTCCCGAGGGGGGGGGGTTCTTAAGTAATTTGTAGTTTAGGGGGTTATGTGACGGGTTTAGGGGTATCACGGTGGTGTGGGGTTCAATTAGGGCCCAAATCAAATCGCAAAGCTCCCGAAACCCCCAAACCCCAAAACCCTAAAGCCTAAACCCTAAACCCCCCAATTGGTGGAATTCTCGAGCCAAAGGTTATGGGCCACAGTGGTGACCATTATCAACTACCGTGCCAACTCCACCGCCTGCGGCCCCAGTGCGTTGGTTGGGTTCAGTCTTCAGGGTTTAGGGTTTAGGGTTTAGGGTTTA